CTTGTTGGTTGGAGTGCACATATAAATCAAAAGAAGGCGGTGACTGCATCCTTAGAGTCTGTAGAGTACATCTGGGAAAGTAATGCTTGACAAAAGGTTATTTGACATTTTTGTTGGCCACATTTAAAAGGAGAAGTGTTTATACCTGGAACACTTTTGCCACATACCCATACAGTACATTCTTATCAAATTGGAGGCTTTTAAATGGTCTTATACTTGTATAGCACCTTTCTATGCTTTACAGCACACTCAAAGCACTTTCACACTATTTGGCCATTCACACTCACAAACCGGTGACATCACCGGGAGCACAGTGTCTTGCTCAAGGACACTTCGACACTTTGACTGGACAAGCCAGGAATTGAACCACTAACCCGCTGGTTAGGAAACGACCCACTCTACCTCCTGAGCCACAGCCGCCCTTTAGAGTTTCTGACATGACATGGATATTTCTGAGAACAGAATAAAATACCGTAGCACTACTATCAGTACAACACAAGCAAGGTCAACGTTTACAGCACATCTTCACAAACTCCCATTCAGGTATAGACCTCTGACATGACTGTTGTCTCGTGTGCCTGTCTGTGCAGTGACGAACTGTTCTGTAGGATCTGCTATGAAGGCAGGACCTCAGGAGAGCTGCTGTCCCCCTGTGAGCGCTCCAGTAGCCTGACCATGGTGCACCAGGCCTGTCTGGAGTGCTGGCAAAGTGCCTCCAACAGCAGCCACTGTGAACTCTGCCACCACCAGTTTGCACTGGAACGCCAGGTCACTGACTTGTTTCAATAAAATGTAATCATAAGAAATGTGTGGTTCACTTGGTCCACCTAAATGTAATAGCCCTGACTGTTGCTTATACTGTGAAAACTCAGGCCAAGCAACATCATTTGCTTTTATTCTGAGAGTGAGATGAGAAGAGTGTCATCAGTACACACATTCTAGAGTCAGGACCTAGTTAGCTTAGCTTAGCATAAAACCTGGAAGCAGAGAGAAACTTTTAAATGTCTTGTAGCTCATTTGTAAAGAATATACTATGTATTTATATATATACGGCTGTATATAAAATTAGCCTCACCTCTACCAGCTGCCAAATAAAAACCATTATAATACACAAATGCTTTGGGATTATGATCCATTAATAGGACATCATTCTGAAATAGGTTACTCTGAACAGTGAACACTTTATCTTTGGTATTTTAAGAACAGTTTGATGCTAATACTGTAGCTGTTATAAGTTTGCTGACCCTTAGTGCAATTGCACTGTGATGATATACCAATATCCTGTTCTCCTGTTATCTCTTCTGTGCTAGTTATAGTGGTTCTGTTATCCATCTACACAGCAGCAGAGGAGGTCGCTGGGTGGTGATAGTGTTTCCTGTTCATCACACCACTGGCCAGCTTGTGAGGATGGCTGTGTGTTCAGGAGCCATGGAACTGTACTTCAAAAGGATGGAGGCCCTGAGGTTCCTGGTCCTCACATTGACCCTATGTGCCGTATACGTTTCCTGGACTCCGGTATGCTCATTCAGGCAGAACAGATTAGTCGTCGGTTTCTATAATCCAGCCACGTGTCAAACCTAGAAAATGAGCTGGAAGCCCTCAAAATGCACTTTCTTGATGGAAATAATTCTTTGTGGGTTCACCACTGTAACCACCCTTTTTCATAATACAGCCATTTGGTTTAGTTAATATAAAAATACTCATCAGTGAAGTGAGATTTCCATTTTTCTCAGCCATAAATCCAAAACTCAAACTGCAGCTTTTGTGGTCAAAGTTCATTCTTGAACTGGGAAAGAGCAGCTACTGCAGATAGAGTTGTCATCATGACCTAAAGATGGATCTTTGGTAATGAAATGTCTTTGTAAGGTATGTGTGCGCCAACATGTGCATCTGTTTAAAGACGTGGAAGAATACTGAGCAGACAGTGCGGCTGCCGATCCCCTTGCCTGCCACAGCACACACAACCAACAGATCCCGTCTATAAATCCCCTCTGCAAAGCTGCAAAACAAAATCAACAGAGACGGTGGTGTCATTTACATACTGAACATACCTTAGACTTTACTATACCTTGATAAAGGCAAGAGGGGAATGAAGCTCAAGAAGCATCCCGAACCCGACACAGCAGGAGAGTTGGAGTACTCTTTCAGGAGGTGAAGGACCGTCACAACAGCCTGTGAAACCTCTACTGTGGAAACATACCCATGAACAACTGCATCAAAGGAGCAAATCTCAGACCTTAGACAAACTGGACCCGACTTATGATCTTACGACACTGCCTCCAAATCAGAGACACATTTTGGTGAAGGCAGGCATGTTTAATCATTTTTCATCTTTCCAAACAATATAATTTCCCAAAAAACAAAGCAATGACACATTCTGGACTAATCTGATATTACTCTTCCTCTAAATGTTAGCACACACCAACATGCTCACAATGACAAGGTTACATTTATCTTAGGCACTTCGCATTGTGTGATGAGCCCTTAACAGTAAGAGTTGCTGTGAGCTGCCCAGTTAACCGTCTTTCAGACAGCAACACAGGAGTGTGATACAGTTGTTTCCTTCCTTTCGGTTTTCTGGCAGTTGCACTCTGTGCACTTATGCACAAAATGACAAAACACAGTAGTGTCTGTGTATTGTCTGTTGACCTACAAGTTACCAAAAACACACATGCTGTCCCCTCCCTTCTAAACGATTCTGTTGTCCCACCCACAGACCAGTAATGTCACCTAAAGCAGCTTTTGCTTTAAAGCATATAAAAGACATGCACCTATTACTGCTACATGATCCTGTGCATTTCAGTTTATTTGGATGAAAATGTTACATATGCTAGAGCTGTGTTGACGTGTTTTTTCTGCTGTGGAAATGGGTTGTTACCCCATGTTAAGGCCTTAAAATGTCAAATGTGATTTTAAAAAGTGTGCAGCAACCCTGTGTCCTCCTGTGAACAGAGACCTGGCTGCTGTGCAGCATCTCGTTGCTTGGACTCATTTGAGCGCACAAGGCTGTTCCTGACAAATTCAATAAGCTTTCCCTAATACTTGAAACCATATGTGAGGCTGCGCTTATTTAGAAAACTTTATTATGTCAACAGTTTGTCACACACACACATTCATTAAATTAGATCAAATCTAGGCAAAGTTTACATGGTGGATTGTGCAGTTAGACCAGTAAAACAAGTGAGGAGCACCGAGGTTCATACTGTTGCTTTAAGGCGTCCGAGTTCTTCAAAGTCAAACTAACATGTCGGTGTCCTGCAAAGTCGGTCCAGGTCTTCCAGGAGGATGTGAAGGACAGCAGGAGCTGGACAAGCAATCACATGACAGCACAGCTCGCCTCCTTAGATAGATCCTGAAGAAGACCAAAAAAGGCAATGTGGTTATTTGTAGCCATATAGAGTGGGCCAAATAGGTTTTTCCACTTACTTATCGTAGGTACACCTCAAATGTGAGAGAATCTTTAAAAAAAAAAAAAAAAAAAAATCCAGAAAATCACTTAGATTTTTAAATTATTTCCATTTTATTTCATGAAATAAGTATTTGATACAACAGAAAAATAGAACTTAATATTTGGTACCGAGACCTTTGTTTACAGTTACAGAGGTCAGACATTTCCTGTAGTTCTTGACCAGGTTTGCACACACTGCAGCAGGGATTTTGGCCCACTCCTCCATACATGTCTTCTCCAGATCTTTCAGGTTTTGGGGCTGTTGCTGGGCAACATGGAGTTTCAGCTCCCTCCATTGATTTTCTATTGGGTTCAGGTCTGGAGACTAGCTAGGCCACCCCAGGACCTTTAAATGCTTCTTACAGAGCCACTCCTTGGTTGCCCTGGCTATGTGTTTGGGGTCATTGTCATGCTGGAAGCCCCAGCCACGACCCATCTTCAATGCTCTTACCGAGGGAAGGAGGTTGTTGCCCAAAATCTCATGATACATGGCCCCATCCATCCTCTCAATACGGTGCAGTCGTCCTGTCCCCTTTGCAAAAAAGCATCCCAAAGTGACCTTCTCCCATGCCTCCTCTGGATCATCCAGATGGTCTTTGGCAAACTTCAGATGGGCCTGGACATGTGCTGGCTTGAGCAGAGGGACTTTGCGTGCACTGCAGGATTTTAAGCCATGACCGTGTAGTGTGTTACTAATGGTATCTGTTGAGACTGCGGTCCCAGCTCTCTTCAGGTCATTGACCAGGTCCTCCCGTATAGTTCTAGGCTGATCCCTCACCTTTCTCAGGATCATTGATACTCCACGAGGCGAGATGGTGCATGGAGCCCCAGTCCGAGGGAGATTGACAGTCATCTTGAATTTCTTCCATTTTCTAATAATTGCACCAACAGTTGTTGCCTTCTCACCAAGCTGTTTGCCTATTGTCCTGTAGCCCATCCCAGCCTTGTGCAGGTCTACAATTTTGTCCCTAGTGTCCTTAGACAGCTCTTTGGTCTTGCCCATAGTGGAGAAGTTGGAGTCTGATAGATTGAGTGTGTGGACAGGTGTCTTTTATACAAGTAATGAGTTCAAACAGGTGCAATTAATACAGGCAATGAGTGTAGGATAGGAGGGCTTCTTAAAGACAAACTAACAGGTCTATGAGAGCCAGAATTCTTGCTGGTTGGTAGGTGATCAAATACTTATTTCATGCAATACAATGGAAATTAATTATTTAAAAAAAATCAGACAAATGTGATTTTCTGGATTGTTTTTTTACATTCTGTCTCTCACAGTTAAGGTGTACCTATGATGAAAACTACAGAACTGTCCATTCTTTGTAAGTGGGGAAAACTTGAAAAATCGGCAGTGTATCAAATACTTATTTGCCCCACTGTACGATTTAACACTGAACATGCAGTTCAGGGAAGGTGTGGTTAATGAGTCTGGAGCAAGGCGTTACTGTCCATCACCTCACATCAGGTACTCCACCAGTTGTGATCATGGTGTTTGCACCTCAGAGTACTGCCTCCAGAGCTGGTTAGGCAAAATGAGTTAAACAAGCCATGCATTTGGTGACAGCGGGTACAAGCAGACAAGCAGGGGGTGCAAGTCTGAGTGGGCAGCAACACCCTCCTTACCTACTGTACAACACGCTGTGTGCTCTGGACTCAAGACACAGAGCAACACTTCTTCCTCTTTGGCTTCAATGTAGGCAGGAAGAAGAGCGAGGTCAAGTTTCATTTTCGGAAGTATTTGTGCACGTGTCTTTAAAAGCTCTTGTATACTGAGTAAATGTGCTTACCTGTCTCCGAAAGTGCTGGATGTCACTACCTGCCACATATTCTTCATCAAACTCCAGTTCAGTTTCCTCGTCACCTCTGCCCTGCATAAATACCCTGCGTTCAGCTATCTCCTGAAAAGACATCACATGACTCCTCTGGTGAGTTGCATCAAGCATTGCAATATAAATGAGGCAAAGCTTTTTGCACTTAGGTACCCTGAAAAGGCAGCCACCCCTTCATCCTTAAAAATGTCATGTGTCGACTTCGATTTGGGTCTAGAACAACTTAAAACATGGGTTTGACAAAGAGACGAAGTGGGACAATGTGAGGAGGTGCATTTGGGAAATGTACAGTCACAAGAAAGAGTAATGCTGTTTGCAGTGTCCTTTTTTTTTTTTTTTTGTATAAATCTGATGTTCACCAAAGTTACAAATATCAACATGAAAGATCAGGACAGTTTTATCCACTTAAAAATATTTTTGGTGATATGTGACTTTGGTGAAGAGCACATCACATTTCATGACCAGTTTATGCAGAAAACCAGGACTATTACTTTTTCTTGTGACTATATTTTGCTTCACTAACCTCCTGGTTGGGGTTGAGGAGGACGACCCTTACATCCAAGACTGGGCCCCAGCTCTTGTGTCCTTGCAGAATCAGGTCCCCTGAATCAGCCTCCACCTCTGCGCCCGCTGCCCAGATCTGATAGATTTAAGATATGTGGAGCAGTTTAATCAGGTCTCACTACCAAGTGGAATAGAATGAACATGTTGCCTGCCTAATAATGTTCTGAGTGTTCTTTCTCTGCACTGGGTCAGTGTTGGTTTCAGTTGGATCCATCTTTGACCCCTCAAGACAATGGCACTGAAACACTAAGACCAAGAAATACTTACGGTGAGTGTCTCTCCACCAGCCAGGACACAGGAGGGGGGGATGTGGAAGGAGATGTCTTCAAAGTCTGGGTATGTCCTCTTAACTACCCAACCACCCAGTGGCTGATCCTGGAAAGGCAGACAATTAATACCAATGCACGTGACAGTGATAATAGAAAGAAATGTCCATGTTCTAAATTTAAAAAAAGGGGTAGGGATCTCTAATTGTGGCATCAATTACAGATTCAAGGAACAAAAAAGGGGCAGTATTCTCAGGCTATAATCCACCACACTGAGAGCCTTTTCATTCCCAGTTCTACATAAACATGAAACAAAGAGTAACTGGCAGGCGAGTCAACTCAGATATTCTGGCAGTCCCTAGTGTAGGTCGACCTCCAACTTGCTTAAAGTTTTGTTAAACCGATAAATGCTCGTCTTGTAGTGTCCAAGCCAAGATCTCCCCAATAACCAAGGTTATTTCTCCAGTCTTGAGAAAGCCTCTCCAGAGATACTTTTTATTCTGATTATTCACACCCAAAAGGTCTATTCAGCTCTATTCCAGCCTTACCGTCTCAGAGTTATTCTTCAGTCTAACGTATCTGCCGTCTGTGTCGACCTCCTCCACGCCCACAGCGCCACGCTCTGTTGAACGACTGGACATTTTAAAGGTGGGCGAGATGCCAGAGGCTCCCTCATGTTTGCGCTTCTTCCCCCTGAGTCTGCGGCTGCTGCGTTCATGCATCCGAGGTGTGTGCTGGGAGGGACTGGGTGTCAGCTGTAGTCTGAGAGAAACACGACAGACTGGGAGAAAAAGCGCCACACAGGCGAACAACAGAGTACATGATGTTGTGGATTTTTAAGAGCCAACAGTGAAACTGAGAATGCCTTGCTCAACTGTTGCATGATTTCCACAGATCACAGCCATACCTCTGTTCCTCCACCTCCAGCATCTTCCTATAGGCATTGATCTCCATGTCCAGAGCCAGCTTGACATCCAGCAGGTTCTCGTAGTCTTCCAGCTGGCTGTACATGCGGCTTCTCATGTCCAGCAGCTCCTGCTCCTTCTGACCAAGTCTCTGCTGCCAAGCCTCCCGCTCCCTGTCCAGAGTCCTCTCCAGGTCCTGAAAGCGACCCTCCAGCACCATTTTCTGACAGAGAGAGGGAGGGAGAGTGAGCAAACACAAAGAGCAGCAAGAAAGAACCATGTGATATCATCATCATCATCATCATCTGTTGCCTCAAAAGAGACTGCCGTAAAATAGAGTGGCTGTGGAAGCACAGCAAGTTGGAGGTACACAGGCTGCATCTTAAGAATAGGATGGTGGAGCTGAACAAAATGATAAAGCAGGCAAGATCCGCCTATTTTTCTCAGTAGGTTGCTTTAAACAAGAAGAATCCCAAGGTTTTGTTTGATACCATTCGAAATATTGTGGCACCGTCAGCTTCTCAAGGCACTGTGCACACAGGACAGGATTGTAATGTGTTCTTAAACTTTTTTATAGATAAAGTGCAGGACATTAGGGCGAGTATTATTCCTACCTCGAAGAGTCGAATCGATGTGACCCCACCTGTATGTTTTTGGTCATCTTTCTCTCCGGTTACTTTTCAGGATGTGAAGATTTTAATAAGAAAGATTAAGCCATCCGCTAGCCCTGTCGATATTTTACCTACAGCTTTGATTTCAAGTTTGTTTGATTTGATTGGTCCCTGGATTGTGAAACTAATGAATCTCTCACTTGAGACTGGATCTGTCCCTGGTTATTTTAAACATGCGATTGTAAATCAAATTCTTGATCATTCTGAGCCAAAGAATTATAGGCCAATATCAAAACTCCCTTTTATGGCAAAGGTCTTGGAAAAAGCGGCAGCAGGACAGCTTATTACTTTTATGGAGCAGAATAAACTGTTTGATGAATTTCAGTTGGGTTTTCAGAAGATACATTCCACTGAGACTGCTTTACTTAAAGTCTCAAGTGACATAAGGATGACCGCGGACTCCGGTCGCTATACAGTCCTGGTTTTATTAAATTTAACATCTGCTTTTGACACTGTCGATCATGGAATCTTGATAGGTAGGGTTCAGTCTGAACTAGGGTTCTCTGGATCTGTCCTCCAGTGGTTCTCTTTGTATCTTAGCGATCAAACTTTTAATGTCGCTATAAATAATGTTATGTCAGATGTGGCTGGTTTGTCATGTGGTGTTCCACAGGGGTCAGTCTTGGGTCCACTTTTATTTCTGATAGAGATATATCTCCATCCTCTTGGTCAGATAATTCGGCGTTTTAAGAAGGCGTCTTATCTTTATGCTGATGTTCAAACTTATTGCTATTTTAATGACAGAGTTCCATTTTTTAACTTCATTGTTAGAGTGCTTGTCATCAATCAAGAACAGGTTTAACAGTAACCATCTTCACATAAACCCTAATAAGACTGAAGTGCTGATTATTGCGCCTGATAATAAGATCCCGTCAATCAGACAACGCCTTGGTTCATTGGGCTCCTCTGTCCAGTCGAGCCTCAGAAACCTTGGTGTTGTGTTTGGTCAGACTATGTCTCTTGATTGCCACGCAAGACAGGTGGTAAAAAATTGTTTTTAATCACCTGAAGAATATTTCTAAACTAAGGCAAATGTTATCAAAAGGTGATTTGGAAATGATTATGCATGCTTTTATCTCTGCACGTTTTGATTACTGTAATTCCCTTCTTATCTGTTGCAATAAGTCAACTGTGAATAGTCTCCAGACTGTGCAGAATGCTGCAGCGAGGCTTTTAACAGGAACCCCTAAAAGAGCTCATATTACGCCTGTCTTATTTTCACTTCACTGGTTACCAGTCAGGTTTAGAAAAGACTTTAAAATTTTAGTGCTAACATTTAGGGCACTTCATGGTAAGGCTCCTCAGTATATTGCTGACCTATTGACCCCATATTTCCTGAAGTGTGTTCTCCGTTCCTCAAGTCAGGCCATTTTGGTGGTCCCCAAAATCTGTTTGAAGACTAGGGGGGGACCTGTCTTTTCAGGCTGTGGCTAGACTGTGGAATGCATTGCCCCTGTCACTGCGTATGGTTCAAATCAGGCCATTTTGGTGGTCACATTTGTTTATGTGTCTTCAGGCTTTTACTTGATTTGATAGTTATGTTTTAATTTATTTTTATCATAGTTTTTATATATTATCTGTTGGTGTTGTTGGCATATTGTTTTGTGTTCTGCATTGCTGACTTTGTGAAGCACTTTGTGATTTTATCTGTGAAAAGTGCTATATAAATAAACCTTTACTTACTTTATCAGATTAGAACCATATCTCTCTACCAACTCTTCTGTTGCTCTAATTAACCAGAGAACCTACAGCCAGCATACTTTAGTGTTTATATGATTATAAAAGCTGACTGAGTGTCAGTGAGATCAGTGGTGTTGGTATATGGACTGCGTCATCTTTGGAGGAAAGTTAACTAGTCGTTGGCTGTAGCTGCGCATTACATTCTGAAGCTGCTGTACTGATCAGACCCACCCCTCTCTGCATGAAATCTATTTGATTTTTTCAATCTGTTGAACTATTCTTTTGATGTCAAAAATAAGTGTTTCAGCAAATCAAATTTCATATCAACAAGGCTGAAGAGAGCAGAGCTTGTGGGCTGCAAGTAGGGACGGCTACCGTTAGGATTCTATTAATACGATACTGCTTATCGATATACTATACTACATAATATCCATGATTTGGTGCAAAAATAGATGTAATATGAAAGAATGTGAAAGTATTCAACTTTATTCATTACAAGTTTGCTTTAATGGTATGCCAATTAATTTTTCAGGAGGAAAATAACATTTTAAAACCAGAATTAACATTGCTTAATTTTCTCATATGTTCTTGAGAAGCAAAGTGCAACAGCACAGTTTAGAACAAACAACTAAACCACAGTGTGAGATCAGGACTTTCAGTATTTTTACGGTGCGATCCTTTGCCTCCTGCCGTCAGGTTTTGAAACCCGGCCCTACTCCGAGCGTTCTGGAACTCAAACATCTCACTCTGTGCATTTCTCTGACTGCATGCGATGGACCTTCGCTAAATGTTTCCACAGACTGCTCGTGTTTGCGCCCTCACTTAGAAAAGACTTGTTGCAGTGAACACTGTCAGTATGAACCACTGTGCAATGCAACCACACATACTGTAGTTAAGTCCGCTGTGTGTGCGCTGCAGGATGTGAGACAGAGCTGCTCCTGTCCCTGCCCCCTAAAACTAACTTATGTAGCAATAATAAATAGGAACTCTGTTTTCCTAACTTCAATACTGATAACTTAACACTGAGCATATTGATAGCAACGGTATTTAGTAATTTAGCACCGGTGCCCGTTAATACAGAGCTTCGGTATCCATCTCTAGCTGTAAGAGCTGAGGGAACAGCAGTAGCTACTGAAGTGGGCAGAATATGCTTCTTCAGCTTATGGAAGAGGCTTAGCATCACACCCACTCCTAGTATGTATATTTAACTATCTACTAGTGCCATTTATTATTTGGTAGATTTGCTCACATCAATCTAGCCACAGGGTTTGCAAGCCAATGACTTCTGTGCCGGTCCCAAGCCCGTATAAATAGAGAGGGTTGTGTCAGGAAGGGCATCCGGTGTAAAAACATGCCAAATTTAAAGATGTGAATCATTAGTGCGAATTCCATACCGGATCGGTCGAGGCCCGAATTAACGACCACCACCAGTGCTGTTGACCTACAGCAGGGGTGGCCATTTCCAGTCCTCAAGGGCCGCTGTCCTGCTTGTTTTCCAACCATCCCTGCCTGACCTGCTGCTGATTACCTGGCTCAGGTGTGTTCAGCCAGTCAGAAGCTAGAAGATACCATCTTAGATGAAAGTGGAGTGAGGAAAGATAAAATGAATTGGTATCTTCCAGCTTCTGACTGACTGAACACACCTGAGCCAGGTAATCAGCAGCAGGTCAGGCAGGGATAGTTGGAAAACAAGCAGGACAGCGGCCC